GCACACAAGAATTTCACTCGCATGTGCTGTGCCAGTGTGCCTGCACATGTGATGTGACAATAAAAGTGATTTGATTTGATTTGATTTGAATATATCTAATTGTATACTCCAAGTATTTATGATAAGAGAGTTAGGTTTTCAATAAGGGAAGTAGTCAGAGTGACTCAGTGTGAGTTTATAGAAACAAGTTTAACAATATAACAATTATATATTTATCTCCTGCTTGTTCCAACTGAAATGCACCACATGGACTCCACAACGTAGCAAATATTAACTCATGAAACAGACTTTGTTCTGTGTTACAAATACTACATAATACAGCTCTATTACATAATGATATATTTTTATTATTTGGTTTTTGCTCACGGTATCAAACTTGCATTTATTTAACAAAAGCAAACAGCCTACCCAAGGTGCTCACGAGAGTGACTTGTATAAATTTGTAAAATAAAAGTGTAATAATTGTGTATTAATCTCCAGGTCCCTCCAGTTGAAATGTATCATTAGAGGCTCTCAAAATCCTTGCCTCCTTAAAAGCTCACAAGAAAGAAAGAAGCAAATTCACTTAGTGGTAAAAACATCTTTTTGAACTCTATAAAAGAAGACTACGTGCAATCACTCTCACAGAGATAGCAAGTTGAGTGGGTTTTATGCCTAACAGCAGCAGAAGGCTGCATCTCAAGTGATATGTTTCTAGAGCACTGACTGCATAACCTTATTGCTCTCCAGTATGACACGGAAACACTATAAATCTCCTGCAGGATTGATTACTGCAATGCTCTTATTTTTGGTCTTCGAAGAAATCTTTGTTACCCCTGTAACTGCTTCAGAACTCGGCTGCACATGTTGATGAGGACCAGAAAGAGCCCGGATTACACCAATTTTAAGCACTGTCTCTCAGTCAGTGTTTTCAACTTGATTGCCTTTATATGTACCTGTATAGCTACCTTTTTAAAACTTTATTTCATTTTATCGCCAGTGTTTCCGTACAATGGGTTGGCGTCTAATATCTAGGTGGGAATGTAGGTGCAGTAAGGGCATAATGAAGGGGATCTATGTATGTTTTTGTTTATTTTCTGGTTTTAATGTGTACAGCACTTTGTGTTGTATCCTTATTGTATGAAAAGTGTGATATAAATAAAGTTTTGATTTTGATTACATTCTTGAAGGTGATTTTGCTCGCACAAAATGGCACGTGTGTGCAAAAGAGAAATGACATAAAACCAAAAAGATCGCAAAACGAGTGCTACATGTACTTATTAATGAAATGCAAATTCCTAGAGTGTATCTGCAGTCAGGAAACAGTCTAGACCTCTGTAATGATACTGTAAAAATAAACAAAAAAGACTTACTGGATAACTTGGGGGAAATTCATTAGTAACCTTTTAAGATGTTGAAAAACTTAGAACATCAGTGGTGGATTCTGTGCATAGAGGGCATTACAGATACAGGTACATGACAGACAGGATGGATGCTTCAGTGGAAAAACCGTCTGGTCCTGCAGACATGGAGGTTTCCAGTGACAAGCTTTTCTGCTGCAGGGGAGTTCGTAACAAGGTCCCTCTGACCTACAGAGAGGAACTGTATCACATCCTGAGGATGACGGGGCCTCTGGTAAATACTGATACTGTCTGCTTACACTTTTCTTCCTGTAAGACGTTGTGTCATGTGATACCTGTATCACCAGTGGAACATTTTTGGTATTTGTCTTTCTAGCTGCTGTCTCGAATCCTCAATTACATGCTTCCGTTTGTGGTTACAATGTTTTGTGGCCGTCTGGGAAACGATGTGATGGCCGGCTATGGATTAGCTTCTGCTGTAAGTGGTTGTCTGTGGAGGCTGATGTAAGGAAATCATAAATAAAGACAAAGTTTCCAGGCACCTAGCAGATGGACAATAGATATTACAGCTATGAATTTGTGTTCTCTTTATACCTATATTTCATATTCATTTCAGACCATTAACGTGAGCACAGCAGCGACAGGCACTGGTCTGGCACTGGCGTGTGATACTTTGGTGTCTCAGGTTTGGAAACTCATATTTTATTAGTTTTTTCCCCCTGACCCCTAATTTCCCTTAATGCACATCCTAACTGTAACTATTTCTCACATTCATAAAATGATTAACTATGTCTGTGTGCTGCTTGAAGACCTTTGGTGGTAAGAACCTGCTGCGTGTGGGAGTGATCCTTCAGCGAGGCATCATTATCCTGCTATTGTTCTGTCTCCCCTGCTGGGGTCTCCTCATTAATGCAGAGGCCATCCTCTTATGTCTGGGCCAGGACCGTGAGGTGGCCGGGTAACTGAGCACACAGAACTTGCACATACAACTCAATCTTATTGTCAGTCAGAACAAGATACCCTCTCAACGCTAACAAGTGTCTACACTAACACTTGTCCTAGTCCCTACAGGAGTCATATGCAGTACAATAACTTTCAATAACATTTTTTGCCATAAATTAGCTTTTGAGTGGTAGCAGAGCTATCTGAGCCTGAACAGTGTATCTAACTATAATAGTCATTTCTTTAGCTTTGATTGGATCTGAATACATCGGCTTTTTTTTTTACCCAGAATAGCTCAGCTGTATATTACAGCCTTCCTTCCTGCAGTGCCGGTGAGATGTGATTTTTCTCTCTGCTTTTTGTGCAAATTCAGTAGAGACACATATACACACCATTTTTTTTTCTTTTTGCTAAATTTAAGCATTTTTGTCATAATTGTTTTTTAGGCAATGTTTCTACATCATCTTCAGGTGTCTTATCTACAGAACCAGGTATGCTAATGCTGTGTACATAATTGCCTTTTCTTGTAATAGAATCACAGTTTGTTGTCTCAATCATTGCGATACAGAGAGAAAGGTATGTTAAGCCTTGCATCATCTGGTGTTTGTGTACTCAGGGAATAATATTGCCACAAATGTACACTGCTGCTCTGGCAAACATTGCAAATGTGGTGACAAACTACATCTTTCTTTACTGGCTGGATCTTGGTGTTGGGTAGATATACTCATCTCAACTATCATTTTACACACGCACACACATATATACAGAAAAAAAAATGACATACTGGAATATCTCTGTGTCATTGCATATGGCTTTCAGTGGCTCTGCAGCAGCCCACACTCTAGCTTGGATTTACATCTGCGCTTTTCTGTTTGTGTACATCTGGTGGAAGAAACTCCATGTATCAACATGGGGAGGTGAGATATTTAAAATGCATGCTCTCTCTGTGCTTGCACTAAAAAGTTCTATATAAACTGAGCGTCTCTCTCCCCCTGCAGGCTGGTCTGCAGAATCACTGCAGGAGTGGGGCTCCTACATGAAGCTGGCCATTCCCAGTACCTTAATGACTTGTTTTGAGTGGTGGGTTTATGAGTTTGGAGGATTCTTTGCAGGTAATCCCTATTTATGGTGTGAAATATATATATATATTCAATTATCATGGAATATGTGCAATATACAGGATTAAACCAGTAAAGCCTGCTTCTAAGATAATTGGGTTTAGAGCTGGCAATACAGTCTGCAAAGGCTATAATTTATTCTGTGTCTGTAATGATCAGGAATGCTGGGTGAAGATGAGCTGGCAGCTCAACATGCTGTGATAATGGTGGCTTTCATTACTTACATGGTACTGTGTAGTGACTGCAAATCAGAACATTTCATTGTCGCCTCTTTCATAAAAAGTCTCAAATTTGGGTGATTTATTTAACTTTTTCCTTTCCTTTTTCAAAACAATGAATCCATAGTTCCCTCTTGGTGTTCAAGCTGCAGCATGTGCCCGTGTGGGCAATGCTCTTGGGGCTGGAGACACTGACAGGGCGATTCTATCAGCCAAGATGTCACTGGCTCTTGCAGGTTAGCTAAATGTGTTCTTCTGTGGTGTCTGATATTTATGAGTATTTCAAGTTAGATTTTTTTTCTCAGTATGACAGATTACTTACCTTTCCAGGTAGTTTTGCTGTTGTTGAAGGCCTCTTCCTGGGTGCTACTAAAACAATCATTGGATTCATCTTCACATCTGATGAGTGAGTCTGTGTACCTGTGTACCTAAACACCTGCTTATACAGTATAAACTCTATACATGAGACTTTGGCTTAATTATCATTACAGAAAAATTGTAGCTCTGGTGTCACAGTTGATGAACGCTTATTGTTTCCTTCAATTTTTTGATGGCCTTGTGGTGAGTCTACCAGCTCTCGTTGTATTCAGAGCAACTATATTTGCAGCATGATTCCAAAGGCACCAGATTCATGTCAAATATGAAATTTGTTTTCTCTATCCCAGTGTGTGTGCACAGGCATCTTCTTGGGTACTGGCAAACAGAAGATACCAGCTGCGGCTAATCTCATTGGATACTACTGCATAGGGCTTTCATTGAGCATCACTCTGATGTTTGTTGTAAAACTAGGAGTGCTGGGTAATTACATCAAGTGGTCATATTTTGTTAAGTTCATAGACATGCAAGAAGAATAAATTGTTGCCTAGCAAGAGCCAGTTATTACAACTGATGCTCAGCGTGATTTCAACAGACCCATTTGTCTTTCTCTCTGCAGGTTTTTGGCTTGGACTGCTCATTTGCGTCATCTTACAGTCCACCTTTTACATCATTGTCATCTTCAAGCTGAACTGGAAGAGAATGACAGATGAGGTATATTAACTGTCTAATATAACAATCAAGGTCATGCAGGGACTCAGCTGTTCATATACAGACAGAGATTTGTTGTTTTAAATTTTTGAGGCATCTGTGAGTGAGACAAAGCTGTACGTAAATATGGAAAATTTTGATTTGGTTTTGCAACTTTTCTATTTTTCAGGCTGTGAAACGAGCTCAGAAAAAGATTTACATGACGGCATTAGGCACGGATGTTGTTTCAGACACTGGCCAAACATCAAGCAATGGGAATGTAAGTGGTCCAATCTAAATTGGTTGATGTGTCTTGTTCTACTTTGTTATCAGAGTAGAAGTAGCACTTCTACTACTTCTAGTACTTTGCTCTATGTTTATTCTTACATTTCATTACATTTATCTTTATTTAACTTAATAAAGTAATGGAAAATACAATTCCTTTAAGTCAGTAGATGGCTACACACCAGTGAGTACCAAGTGCCAAGCGACACAGGGCGAACACGTGGACCACGACCCGAAGAGCAGCCATCTCTCCATCACTCAGCTGATCATCAGGCGAGGCCTCACTATGTTTGCAGCTGTTGGACTTCTTGCTGTGGGAGTAGGTGTGTACTTCCTTGTGCCTCTGCCAGAGACGATATCTGCAAACTCTACAATGGACAGGATTAATAGTACAGATACTCCTGATCAAATCTCCACCAGTGTGATGGTCACATTAGAGAGATAGCGTAAAAACACAGTGTTAAGCTCTTACAGAATGATTCTCTTGGACTGTTTCAGGACCCAACTGTAACAGATGTGATTCAAAAATAAGGTGAATTAATGGTGTTGGGTACATTTCATTTTCTTCAAATTATCATCATTATTAAGTAATAAATGACCTATTTCATCACAAAGTGATGAATGTGTATCTGATTGTTTTATCAGCATTTTGTTTTTAAGAATACATGTCAACAGTTGCTAAGTATAAATCCTGCCTGGAGATGAAAATTAAACTTTGTCTAATGACCAAAGAAACAATGCTGTTGACAGAAATGTTAATAGATGTTCCATTTTAATTATTAAAAAAAAAACATTTTAGGTTGAACTCTTTGGTGTGAAATTTTTTTTTTTGCTTGTTTATTTGTTTGTTTTTGTCGTGGTGAAGCCAAGCTGTTTATGTAGGGGTGACCAAACTCAGACTGCATGATGCGGGATATAAAATAGAGTCCAGTTATTAATTTCTTTCTCCTTTTTTTCTGCATGGAAAAAATGAAATCATGAATTTATTTCACTCAATTTTTTAGAAATATTTTAAAAACATATCTATGTTGCTCAGGTGATAAGAATTTCATGTCTTTGCACTGTTAAATGCAAAGCTGTAAAAAACAGCTGTATATAAATGTTTCTGTCTCAAAAATAGTTATTGGATCCTGTTTTAAGAGTATGCACTTGTCCCCCTAAAAGCCTTCACCCTCATATATGTTAGGTAGCTCGAGTGTTATAGTAGCTCTGGGTTATGGAGACCTTAGTTGATCTTTCTCTGCTCTGAGAACCTCTATCACCTCTTGGTTCTGCTGTGTGGCCTCCTCCTGGTAGGACATACCTGAAACACCTCACTTCACCCCACGTCCTAAGGGGGACGTCCTGATCATATGTCCAAGACATCTCAACCAGCTCTTTTAAATGTGGAGGTGCAACTACAATCATCCACTTGTTTTTGTGTGTCAAGTCTCTAAGAGATTTATTAATGAAGGTATCAAAAGGACATCCTTCCCCAAGACACTCACAAATGTTTCTTTTATGATCACATTTCCCTCTTTACTCCTTTTCTATTGTTAACACCTCTTTGATGGTTGAGTTCTTAATTACCACTTTCAATTTGGCTTGAGAAGGCATTAAGTAAGCTATTTCATGTTTCTAGGATGCTGGATTGTTTAAGAAGTCTGTGAAATACTACAAGAGATTACATTATCAGATTTTCTCCAACAATGGCCTTTTTTTGGTCTACCATTGTGCAAATGTTTGATCTTTGCAGTTCTAAAATCCTGATGTTATTATTTTTGTAAAATTTCCTCAGCTGACCACAACTAGAGGTAGTTACTTGTGTTTTACACACGTTTAATCACCCAGATCAAAACATTCTTGCTTTCAAGTCCTCACCCCCATCTTTGCCTTTGTTGTGGTTGCTGAGTGTTTCTCTCTTCCTTCTCACAATCTGTGTTGTTTCAGCTGGACTTTGTTTTGCTCCAAGGCAGCTGTGGCTGCATCCTTTGCAGCATCCTGGAGTGCAACTAAGATGACTGTGTGAGAGTATAGAGAAAGGTTTTAGTGGAAGAACATACATTAGCATCTGGGGCTGCAGACATGGAGAGGTCCAGCGGCAAACGTTTTTGTTGTAGACGGGTGTGCCACAGGGTTCCTGTGGCACACAGAGAGGAACTGTACCACATCCTGAAGATGACAGGTCCTCTGGTAAGTACTGGGATTGCTCACGTGCCATGATCTTTCTTTAACAGACCACGTAGATGGAGATTATCCTTGCTGATGATACAACAGAAGACTGATGACAGTCTTTCTTTTTTTTTTAAAAAGTTTAAGATGTCAGGAAAACATACTTTCACAGATGTGACAATAAAACTGAAACAATATTTGGCACTTTTTACTCGCTAAACTTGTCAGGAAATCTGTGTACCACGATAATTAGTTGCAGTATGTAATGGTTTATTTTTAAATTACTTGTCATGTGATACTGGTATCACTCCTGCAACATTTTTGGTATTTGTCTTTCTAGCTGCTCTCTCGAATCCTCAATTACATGCTTCCGTTTGTGGTTACAATGTTCTGTGGCCGTCTGGGAAATGACGTGATGGCTGGCTATGGATTAGCTTCTGCTGTAAGTCATCTGTATGCTCCACTGATGTTTTGAAGCTTACTCGAAAAATGGATTAAATGAAGAAGTAATTACGAGGATGCTGATGGAAGAAAAGGAATTGTTACTTAAGTCAGCAAGATAATTGTCTCGTAATCACTCGTCAACAACACTTATGATTTAATCTATGCTAAGCACTTGACACTTGCTCTTAAGAATCATTCAAGTTTTGCTTATAATAGTTTGCATTCATTTCAGACAATTAATATTACCACTGCAGCAACAGGATTTGGTCTGGGACTGGCATGTGATACTTTGGTGTCTCAGGTCTGTAAAACCAAGTCAACATGATGCTATCATACACTGGAATTTTTTGCTTTCCCTTTTTTCTTGCCGCCATCTTTAAAATGTTCATTATCCTGACAGACTTTTGGTGCTAAAAATCTACTCCGGGTGGGCGTGATCCTTCAGCGGGGCATAATCATCCTCTTGTTGTTCTGTCTGCCTTGCTGGGGTCTCCTCATTAATGCTCAGGCCATCCTATTATGTGTGGGCCAGAACCCTGAGGTGGCCAGGTAACTAACAGCAGCAAATATACAGTAATATTATTGATACAACTGGCATAGATATGGGTACATTTAAACATGAAACCTGATCTTCTCAGGAATAACATCTGTGCATTAAAACCATTTCTGGTTGCCAAAGATTCACTAAACAGAATCACAATACAAATTAAGTGAATGTCAAAATGATCTCAACTAATCGTATAAAACTGAACCAATGTTCCCTCTAATTTTTCATGCGTCTGAGCGAACACAAACTCCCTGAGCGGTCCCTTGGACCACTGTGAGC